TGTGTGTGTGTGTGTGTGTGTGTGTGTGTGTGTGTGTGTGTGTGTGTGTTGAGTAAATGGATGAGTTCTGACACTGTGATCATCCATCTGTCTCCTGATGCACAAAGAGCATCCTCTTTCTCAGACACATTGACCTGTGTGTTTCATGTACTGCCCAACCATTCATGTTGATTTTTTCGTAATCATATTCCTAAATATTCTGTGGTGCTGTTTTCCTGGTGTTCCTTCATCAGAAGCGTTTCTCCTAGTTCCACTAGAGCTGAGTCAGTTGTTGGGGAGATGTCTGGAAAGCTCCAGAACTGATCCTACAGTGTGTTTTGAATAGTTGTCATTGTTTAAGGCCGGTTTGAGAAGCAGATATATTGAGAAGCTGTATATTGAACTGCTGTAAGCTATTGCTGATCTCCTGATCTGTTTAATGATGGCCTCACCCCATTACATTCATGCCTTTTTACATTTATCTAATCCGTTTTGGATATGAGTATTAAAAGTCAACTTCTCCCTCTATAATCCCGGAAATCTGCCCCAGTTGTTTTAGTATGTGACCATGTGTTTGAGTTGTTCCCTCTTTTTCAGAAATGGGTTAGCAGTAATCCAGATATTGAGAAGATGAATCCCCTTCTCTGTCTTCTGTTTACTGCCCTCGGTGTGTCATTTACTAAATATATTTTATTTGTATCCTGTTTTCACACAGCAGCAGAGTCTGTATAATGATGACGCAGGTGTTTCTCTGCATTCACTGACTCTTTTCCCTCAATGCTGATTTCTGATTCTGGATGAACACATGATCCTGTGACTCTGATAATTCCTGCTATGCTTGTGTTCAGATATGTGCAGTGTATTCGCGTGTGGTACACATGTTGAACACACACTCTGTATGCTCGTTGATGAGGTTTGGTTTGGTTTGTTGGTCTGATTTTTTGCCTTTGCTGGGTTGTTGTGAAAGCTCCTGTAAATGAGCTCAGTGTCTGCTGTTCTGGTGTCTGAAGCACTGTGTCCGCCACCACCACACATCTATAATCTAATACTGAGACCGTCTGTCACACACACATTGCCATTCACTACCAACCAAACACTCATTATATTTAATGTTTCTTGCCTTCATCTTTTCCCTGACGTGTACAGCCCTGTACAGTTTCACACCACCATCCTAAACTGTTTCTCAAATTCTCATTATTGATTTATAAATGATGCCTTTTCTGTTTACAGTAACACATATTTTAGATTAATTATTTCCTCCTGTTATGGATGTTCATCTGTGAAGTGTTTGTGACAAATCTACAAGGTAAAAGCACTTTAAAAAATAACTCTGACCTGGTTCTCTGTATCTGTCATTTACACCTGAAGTGTCTTCATTAATCGCTCATTGATCTCTGAGATGCCTGATAGACTCGCTCTGTTTATTTCTGCTTTTATGTTCAGTCATAAAGCTGGATCATCATAACCCGCTCTGATTGTGTTCTTCATTTCCAGCTGTAACATTTCATTTGTCTTTTCCTAAATCTTACACCTCGTCTCTGCTGTTGTACAATCTCTGCCTTGTCTTACAGTGTTCTGGGAATCCAAGATTGTATTGTATATGTCTAGTGTTTTGCTGACTGATGATAAGATAATGTGAAGTTGCCGTGCTGGCAGAGCTCTTAGCTTCCAGAGAGAAATGACATTTCTGCCACATTTAATAAATCATCATTAGTTTGTGTGTGTGTGTGTGTGTGTGTGTGTGTGTGTGTGTGTGTGTGTGTGTGTGTGTGTGTGTGTGTGTGTGTGTGTGTGTACATCAGTACCTCCTTAAATATGACTAATCTTTTTTTTTTTTTTTTTTTTTTTAAAGCACACTTCATTTTATTTTCAGTATGCTTCTGAAACTCTGACTCCTTGCCTGATTTCATTATGTGATCTCCGTTGTCTCTACATTTCTCTCAGTCCTGAAACTCTGGTTCTGTTTTCTATGCTGAAGTGGTAAAGTGTGATGTGATGGTCATTGCTGTGGGTTTTTCTCTGCTGATGAGTCTGACACTACTGTAAATGAAGAGCTGAACAGAAATGAGGTTTATAGACGTCAATCACTGTGATCTTCCCTCTGTTCGGTTTCAGTTCATGTATATATTTAACTTCTCCACTCATTCTGTTATTATTTGCTTGTTTTACACATATTCCTCTCCGTCTGCATATCTCTGCACTTCTCTTCTGCTGAAATGCTGATTCACTCAATAATACACACAATACCCAAACCTCCAGCTTTTAGGACAATGCTTCAGTGCTTTAGGACAGGCTTCTTCTCTGTGTCTAAATGTTAGCGGTTTGTGACTAACACTGTTGGACAGGATCAGCTGAGAAAGCTGGTGTTCGAGGGGCTCTTGTTTTTTGTTTGGGGCTGCGTCTGAATATATGATCAAACCCAGCTGTTTTATTAAAGTCCTTCAACATCTGTCCTACAGTGCTGGAGGTGTTTTATGAGTCGCAGGTTTCGTCTCTGTTGTGGGGGTTGAACTGGATTCTCTGATGCTGGTGTCAGAAAGAAGGATGTTGTCAAATTTCAGACAACACCACACACACTTTATAATGTCCTGATAAACACAGGAGTGTGTTCAATTAAACACTGATATTAGCTAGGTGCTCCACAGAGCGACACCAATATCTGTGCATACCTGTGGCTATTAAACAAAAAAAAAACTTCTTTAAATAATGAGTTCATGGTGTAATATTGTTAATTTCTTTTATTTGATGTATTCTTAATGGAGCTGCAGTAATACACTGTATTTCCCTCTGGGGTTTAATAAAGTGTTTGTGTGGTTTACGGGCTGATGTGGACACGATCAGCTGAAACCTGCAGCGTATTTTGAGAATAAAAGTGTCAACAGATCTCTACTAGTCTACACTATTGTACAGCCCTCCACACTGCAAGCTTCCTCTAAAGGCAGAATAACGCTGATTTGGAATGAATATTTCTATGTTGTGTGTTATTTATTTAATCCATTATATAAAGACCTTTAATCAACATGTCTGAAGCGGCTGTCAACATTGGCTGGACCCGACTGCATCAGAAGAGCACATTATACAGCGCAGTGACGGCGGCGGCAGAAGGTACATCTGACCATCAGTTTGAGTGTTTCTTTATGTCTTTAGTTTTTGAATAACCAGATAAACCCAGCATGTGTGTAGTTATGAACATACCCTGTGTGCGTCCCCAGACCTGCCTTCAGCAGTAATCTCCATCTGTGTACTGAAGTGAACACTAATGGATGTTACCTCACTGATGCTGTGTGTTACTCACCTGACAGCTCTTTCTCAATGATAAACTGCATCAGTCCTGTTGCTGAATAACCCATACAGTTACAGAATCTGTCTCTGTCAACAAATGCACTTTTATTTTTCTGAGGAGAAGTGAAGATGTCTTTTCCTCCAGGTCTTTCCGCATCCATGTGGGAGATTCGCAATCAGTCTGAAGATCCACACCGGAGCAACCTGAAGATGCAGAACACAGAAGTCCAGTATGGTGGAGCGATAAAGGATATCAACATGATCTACAACACAGGGAGCCAATATGACACACACACACACACACACACACACACACACACACACACACACACACACACACACATCCCATTGCAATAATATAGGATATTATACTTGCTTACCTGTCCTTCTTCTTTCTCTTTGTGTGTCTTTTTACAGGTACATGCATTCAATATGGTGTCAGAGAATGAACACACAACACACACATGCGGGTAAACTACATGTGTGAACCAGAGCTTAACATCCGGAACAGAACCAGGAGATAAAGTTACTGTACATTCACATTCTCTCTCTCTCCCTCACACACACACACACACACACACACATGCAGCTATTCACCATGCACAAGTTAATGCAGGATCAATAAAAATTAACACTGAACCATAAAACAAGAAGATCTTTAGTTCCGCTGGGTCAGTGACAGGTGAGCGTTCCACTGGGTTATTTACAGTTGAGTTAGAGTTGGGTTAGGGTTTTTGACAGGTGCTCATTTCTCTAGGTTATCGACTGGTGAGTTCCTCTGGGTTATCGACAGCTGCTTGTTGTTCTGGGTTATCGTCAGGTGCGCATTTCTCTTGTTTTTTGACAGGTGAGCATACCTTTGGGCTATTGACAGGTGAGTGTCTTACTGGGTTTTATCTGTTTTTATCAACAGGTAAGTGTTTCACTTGGTTAATGACAAGTATTCATTTCACTGGGTCACTGACAGGCGAGTGTTCCACTGGGTAGTCGTCAGGCGAGTGTTCCGCTGGGTAATCGTCAGGCGAGTGTTCCGCTGGGTAATCGTCAGGGGAGTGTTCCGCTGGGTAATCGTCAGGCGAGTGTTCCTCTGGGTAATCGTCAGGGGAGTGTTCCGCTGGGTAGTCGTCAGGCGAGTGTTCCGCTGGGTAATCGTCAGGCGAGTGTTCCACTGGGTAGTCGTCAGGCGAGTGTTCCGCTGGGTAATCGTCAGGCGAGTGTTCCGCTGGGTAATCGTCAGGGGAGTGTTCCGCTGGGTAATCGTCAGGCGAGTGTTCCTCTGGGTAATCGTCAGGGGAGTGTTCCGCTGGGTAGTCGTCAG